ATGGAACTTGGCAGCAAACCTCTAGGATTAACGTTGATTTTGTGAAAATAAGTGACATGATTATTGATTTTGGAAAAATGGCTAGAGTTTTGGGTTTTAAAATAGATAAAAATCTATGTATGGGTGAACATATAAAGGTTTTGGTAAGAACTTGTTCATTTCAATTGAGGCAATTGTATCGAATTAAAAAGAGTTTGAACAGACCAACCATGGTTACTCTGATTCATTCGTTCATACATTCTAGATTGGACTATTGTAATAGTTTGTTTTGTGGTGTTTCGAAACATGAGATTGCTAAGTTGCAGATGGTTCAGAATAGAGCTGCAAGAATTGTTGTTGGTGCTAGTCATGCTGAACATATTAACCTAATTCTGTCGGATTGCATTGGTTGCCGGTCAGCAAAAGAATTGTTTTTAAAGTCTGTGTTTTGGTTTATAGATGCTAAAACGGATTGGCTCCGCAATATCTGTCCGAAATGTTGATTGACAGATCATCGATTTCTTTAAAATCTGGCCTACGACCAGATCAGGGAAACTTGTTAGTGGTCCCGGTTACTAAATTAAAGATTGCATCAGGTAGTTTTGCAGTTTATGGACCAAGGCATTGGAATGAACTTCCATATTTTTTGCGTCGGTCTGGTCTGACACTTCCCCAGTTTAAGAGTCAATTGAAGACATATCTTTTTTCCTTGCAGAAAATTGCGATAGTTGAAAAGCGCCTATGAGAATGTTTTTAATGCGCTATATAAATGATCATATAATAATAATAATAATAATAATATATATAGTTAAATGTTTAAATTTTTCTGAGAGTACTCAAAATAATTTGAGGCTACACCACTGAGATGGATGTGAGTGAACGAACGAATGAATGAATGAATAAATGAATGAGTGGAAGAGTGAATGAATAAAAAGATTATTGAATCACCAAAACTATATAATAATAAAATATAAGACACTATATAATAATATATGATCAATAACTCTACATATCTATATATATATATATATCTATATAACCGTGTACAACACTATAAAATAATATATAATCGATAACTCTAATTAACTATATATAAATCTATATAACAGTATATAACATTATATAATAATATATAATCAATAACTCTACATAACTATATATGAATCGATATAACCGTGTATAACACTATATAATAATATATAACCAATAATTTTAAATAACTATATATAAATCTATAAAACCGTATATAACATTATATAGTAATATATAAACAATAACTCTTCATAACTATACAAAAATCTATATAACCGCGTACAACACTATATAATATATAACCAATAACTCAATATAACTATATATAAATCTATATAACAGCATATAACACTATATAACAATATATAACTAATAACTCTACATAACTATATATAAACCTATATAACCGTATATAACACTATATAATAATATATAATCAATAAATCCACATAACTATATATAAATCTATATAACCGCATATAACACTATATAATAATATATAACAAACAACTCTACATAAGTATATATAAATTTATATAACCCTATCTAACATTATATAATAATATTTAATCCAAACTCTACATAACTATATAATATATTATAACCAATAACTCTACATAACTCTATAAAAATCTTTATTACCGTATATATAATCAAAAAATTTACATAACTATATATAAATCTATATAACGGTATATAACACTATATAGTAATATATTACCAATAACTCTAGATAACTATATATAAATCTATATAACCGCATATAACACTATATAATAATATATAACCAATAAAACTACATAACTATATATGAACCTATATAACCCTATATAACACTATATATTAACATTTAATCCATAACTCTACATAACTATATATAAATTTTTATAACCCTATATAACACTATATAATAATATATAACCAATAACTCTACATAACTATATATAAATCTATATTACCGTATATAACATTATATATTAATATATAATCAATAACTCTACATAACTCTATATAAATCTATATAACCGTGTATAACATTATATAACAATATATAACCAATAACTCTACATAACTATATATAAACCTATATAACCGTATAACACTATATATATAATATAAATGATATATAACCAATAACACTACATAACTATATATAAATCTATAAAACCGTATACAACACTATACAATAATATATAACCAATAACTCTACATAACTATATATAAATCTATATATCCGCATATAACACTATTTAATAATATATAACCAATAA